TGTATTCTCTTAACTCTTATTGACTCACAGATTGATAAAGGAGTGTACATATCAAGGAAGCTATTGTTTGCTGGTATGCTGTTGAGAGTCAGTGGATTGTGGACTAAAGGGGAAACTGTCAAGAGTGGAGTGCATGGTGACTGAGGGTGAGAGGTTCATTAATAATTATGATTATTTACTGTGTATGTACATATGTACAATACACACTGTTACTTTTGTAGACCTGTTTGATGCATAACATTATTATTTTGCATGTACATATACAATTACAATTTTATATGTCTGTAGATTGTGTTTAGATCAGCCTCATTGCAATTCTTCCTATTCATGCAAGTCAATTCAGAGATATGGGAGTTTGATCCCAATGGTCAGTTACTGTATCCTCATTGTGCTAGTACATATTACTAGTGTTTAGGTGATACTTACTTTGATGAAGCAGTTGATGGTTTTTGAAGGATCTCTTCTTCGTTTGGAAGGTACAGTACATGCAGTGTGTATATTGATGGACACATTCATTGCACATGAACATTCTCCTATTATGTTGTACATGTTCTTATCACTGTATTTCATGAGTTTTGCTTTAAGCTTAAAAACAAAATTCACATTCTTTCTACAAATAAATGTATAATTCTTTCTCTTTGTCTCTGTCTCTCTCCCTCTCTCTCCCCCCTCCCTCTCTTAGGCAGGCCCGCTGAGAGAAGACATGGGGCCCAGGGGAAGATTAAAATTAGGGGCCCTTTGCAATAATGAAAAAAATTACAAATTAAATGACAAGAACTACCAATGCTCAAATATGACCGAAAATTGATTGACTGACTTAGGAACACTAGCAATTAAAAGCAAACTTGCAGAACAGCTAAATTTTGATTATATCATAGATCATTTTGCTAGTTTAAAAACCAGAAAGGCACATGTTTAATCATGTATTAAAAGATGACTTATTATACTTTATTTATAATGTATATTATTATGGGGCCCCCTGAAGTGAGGGGCCCAGGGGATTTATCCCCTGCTCCCCCCCCTCTCAGTGGGCCTGCTCTTAGGTGTGATTCCATTGATAAACTCCATAAAAGGTGTGAGACCATTAATTGAGAGATACAGGACTCACAACAGTTCAAGGACTTCTACCAGTTTACGTTTAATGTTGCCAAAAATCCGGGCAGAAAGGACTAGGCTAGTGACATAATATTATACATGTACATGTACATGTAGGATCATGTTTGCTAAACTTGCAGCACAATGGTTTCAATGTACACGTGTTGATGGGGGAATTTTTCAAGTGATCCTACTAAAATTTGAGAGTACATGTTAGAGCTGTGAACCGGTTTTAGGTTAACCGGTTAACCGACTGGTTACAGCATAATTTTAGGTTATCAGTTATTTTTAGCTATAACTGGTTTTATGAAATTAATGATTTTATGCACTGTGAAGTTAAAATTTATCATATTTCAGGCAAGAACACTTCCAATATCTAGTAAATTGACCTTTGTGACCCAAAAGACAATGCCATATATCATTGAAAAGAGCATATAAGTTG